AACTTTTAAAACTAGAACAACCTAACTTGGAACTAAGCTTGCCTAATTCATAAAAATTAAGTTAAAACTTTTAAGAGATGATCAAGAGAGATAGGAGCTTAATTTTCAACTCAACAACTTTCAAGTAGAACTTAAGGGAGACGTTACATTAAATAAACTTTAGGACCATTTAAAAGAGATAGAATTTGAAGTAAAATTTAACTCAAGTTGCATTTAATAAACTCAAGTTGCATTAAATGAACAAGTGCATCTCAAACTTTATTTAGTGCAAGTCGGCCATCAATTAATGGAACTACACTTAAACTACTTCAAACTAGTTAAGTAAAACTTTATATACTATTAGGAGGTTACAAAGACTTTGAAACCTAACCAAGACTTTAATTATCGGGTCCAAAAGTCTTTTCATTGTATTTTAAGTTTTTAGACATTTCATTTAAGCTTTTTAAGTTACATTTTTAGCTAGTGGTTGCTGGCTAATGACAATCATATGATTGGGAGTTACAACTTTTCAATAGTTACTTTTAAGGTTGTTTAGGAGGTTGTATATAGCCTAGCTTGTTCTCTTGAAAATTCTGAATTTTGTGATTGAATGAAAGTTGCATTTTGCTTCAGAAGCCTAGATCTTATTTTTCTTTGTAATTCTGGAGAGTTAGATTTGCATGCTAGAATCATTCAAATAGTTTTGATCAAGCTATCTTGTGGAGTTGTTCAAATCTTGAGTTAAAAACAAGTTTTCTCTACTCTTGATATTGATCATCAAGTAATTCGCTTTAGCAATTTTTTGGGTCGATACAAGTTCAATTTTGGGTTTTAATATTCGGTTTTGTAAGAGTTCAAATTCTATTAAGGGACCTTATAAACAATTGCGCTAGGGCTTTTTATCACTTGAGGTACCACTAACCTTGATGACTCAAGTTCAAGCCCTGTGCTGGGCACAGCATTGCTCAACCTAGGCCACGAGCCCTATTTGTCTCCTAGTGTAAGCCATACAGCATTCCAAAAAATCAAAAAAAAAAAACTTCTTAAATAAATTTTATTATTAATTAAAGGTTAAATATATATTTTAATCCGTAGTGTGTTGGTAATATGGTATGTTTTTCAATTTAGTCTCTAATGTTTAAAAGTTTTAATTTAGTTCCTTATATTTTAACGTTCTTCCATTATACTCAATTTTCATTCCTAACTAGTAAATTTTCTGATGATGAACTTATGTCATCATACTGAGTTTGTAGAAATTTAGACGATAAATTCGACAAACTTAAGAGGACAAGTTGAAATTTTTGTCTGACTTCTTTGAAATTTGGAGAAATTATCAACTTTCATCTCTTAGATGATCTGATTTTTCCCTCTAAATTTTTATTAACACCCACTAAACATCATCACACTATGCAATCTATTATCATTGGCCAACTTTAACATTTATCGACAAAAATGGTACGATATAATAGAAAAATATTAAAATATAAGAGTAAATAGAAACTTTTTAAACTATTTAGAGAATAAAGTTAAAAAACGTTCAAGGATTAGGAACAATAATACATACATATTTAATCTTAACTATAATTAAGGGTAAATTCATAAATTTAGAATTAATATTTTTCTTAGTTTAAGTTTAAAAAAAAATATATATATATATATATATATTTAACTTAATTATTCTAACTAAAAATTGAAAAGACAAACAAAATAGAGGTGCTAAAACTAGAGAAAAAAAATCTTTCTTGCCACAGAAAAATGCAAACATTTTAACAGTTATGAGTGATTTTAACTTTCAATTTTCGATTTCATCAATTTAAATGCTGAATTTAAATTATTTACTTGAATAAGTGATGTAGTTAATATATTAGGTAAATACATTTTTGGTGTACTAGTTAAATACATTTTTTGTCGTTGAATTTGAATCTATGTTTCTACTTGATCTATTTTTATATTTTTATTTTTAAAAATTGTTAATTTAATAAAATAGAACAAAAGGCATAGAATCCCACGGAATTAGTATTCGTATATATTTTTTTAGTAAGAAACGGGATCATTCAGGATTACATCAGAAAAGTACTGACTACACGCCACATTTAAAATCCCAAAGATAAGCGATTATAAATTACATGCTTGGCCAATAAAACATCTTGTCTATTCAAAAAACGAGAAATATGAACAAAATTCAGCCCACAAAACACCTTCCTCAAAGTCACAACATCTTCATCCCTATTCAATACTTTTGGGGAACTCCTCAATTAGTGGAGGAATCTTGTATTTTTTATGGCACTAGTAACCATGATTGGAAAGGTAAATATTCCTTCACATTTCCCGTATTCTCCACCATAATAAGTAATGGGAAGCGGAATTTCCTCCCTTGAAATTGGAGACCGCCCATTAATATCCCTAAAATTTGCCTCCAAATTTGCTCCTTGAGAAGAAACCGCAACTGCCATATCCAAAGACGGAACTACCCCGACTGCTGATTCCCGTAAAGTTTTCCTGTCCCTGGTACATCTCTTCTACCATTTTAATTTGTATCGTCCTATTTATACAATTATGGCCACACCACTGACGTTTTTTTTTTTTTTTGATAACGAAGCCAAGATTCATGACGGTTGAAAACATCCTCACAATCTTTTATAATATGACCCACTAGCGATAATGGTAACAAAAATTCAGCAATCGTTCATAGTGCATTGGTATCCAACCACCTCTATTGGAACATCAAGGTTAATTTTAGTTCTCCGCCGCAAAGGTTTGTAGATATCAATTGAAACACGAACTCTCAAACTACCACACTAACAAATTTTATCTCGAGGGTGGTGTCAATCCTTTTCTCTTCTTTGAGAGAAGGAAGAAAGGAGAAGGTATTTATAGCGCTCAAAGTGAACATATCGGGGGAGAAGAGAAGCTTACTTTTTGGAACAAAGGAGAAGGGGGGAGCCTCTCCCTCCCCGACAACTTTTGAATCGAGAAATAAATTGTAATTATTTGGATAAAATATATTTTGTCTGAGAACGAGTTTTGGAGTCAAACTTCGATGACTAACTAGAGTTAAATGGTTTGCCATAATTGCTCTTTCCTTAATTTCCACCTTCTTCCTCTCTTTCCTTACACTCCCTGAATAAACCAGTGATCCAAATGGAAGATGAAAAAACCCAAACAAAGTTTCTGAAACCGTAGAAGAAAACTACGTTTTGGATCTTTGAACCATAAACTTCTTCGTCTCCTTTGATGCTGTGTTTATAATCTTATCATATCTCTGTCACTTGAGAAATCATTAGGGGTTACTTAAACTGTGCTCCGAAGAAACAAGGAAATGAAACTTTTGCAGTAGAATTCTAGCTAGGGTTAGCTGGAAATGTCATCAAAACCCGAGTCGGAGCCGAAATGCGAGAAGCAATTATACCTTATTGACCAAATAGAAACATATCCTCAAAAGTTTCCGTAGAAAGCTACTCTACCATAAGCAACCATACCTTATGGACCAAAACTTTATTTCATTGAATAATTCTTTGTCAATTATTTGTTCTGCAACAGCTTTTAAAAGCAACTTTTTAAAGTGTTTTTTTCATCTTTTCTTTTTCTTTTTTAATAAATTGGGATATGGGAGTTTGAACTTTCGACTTCAAAGAAAGGAGTAGATGTTAACTACCTATGACCTATGCTCATGTTGGCATTGACTTACGAATCAATGCTAGATAATATATAAAAAAATGTCGAAGATATTATCATTTACTTTTTTTTTTGTTATGCAATATTTTAAATGAGTGATTGAATAACCTGAACCAATCAAATCTAAATATTTCAGGGTTAGATTGAATTAAGTTTATTATTTAATAGGAGTTGTTAGGGTTCAACGATTTGAATTAGGTCAAAAAGTACCTCAATTCAATTCAACTCAGGAAGCCCCATTTATAGTCATTTATTTTTTATTTTTAAGAAATAAAAATTATATTTTTTTCTTTTGCCTTAAATCAAACATTTGAGAGATAGATATATTAGAGAGAGATCGATATGTTCATTTGAGATAGATATATTAGAGAGAGATCGATATGTTAGTATAAAACAAAACCACCCAAAAATAGAGCAAAATTTTAAGAGGGAGAAATATATTTGAGAGAGAGATTAGTTAGAGAAAAAAAGGAATAGAGAGTAAGAATATGCTAGAGAAAGAAAAATAAGTTAGAGAGAATTATTATCAAGTATGGCAACGAGGCAAGGTAGGGCTGGGGCCATCCCCATCCCGCGCCCTGTCCCGAAGTTCGCCTGTCCCCAAGGGTACAGGGCGGAGATTCACCGATCAAAAACCCGTCCCCAATAAATTTTTTATTTTTTATTTTTTCATTTTATGGGTGTTAAAAGTAAAAAACAAATGGCTAAACGGGCATTGGACTTGGACCTTTTTAAAAAAAAACTTTAAAAAGTATTTATTAAAATTAAAATATATTAATATTATTACATATAAAACTTAATAAAATATTTAGCAATTTGACCCGTCTTTAATCAAACCGAGGATTCTCCGACCCGGTCGAGTCGGGTACCCATGGAGATCGAGTCCCACGGATTTTTTTGTCATCCCTAATTATGATAGAGACCAACTAGACCATAGCTCAACGTGTTAAGATACATGTATCCAATCATAAAGTTGTGAATTCGAATTCCCACCTTCACATATTGTACTCAAAAAGTGATTAGGTGATTTATTTATATGTTAAGTTTATCAAGACCTTAAAATTTTTATATAAAACAAGGTTTTAAAGGTTAACAAATAATTCTTTCACACTTTTAAATAAGTTAAAATAATTATTATTAACACTACAATCCTATTAGTGCTATTTTGTTGATCTTCTTTATATTTTGTTCATTGTTCATGCTATAATAGAAATGTGAATTTACCATTTATGTCAATGTCAAACTCATGGACATATGAAAAATGTCAATGAAAATTTATAAAAATGTAGTACCCTGCTATAAACAACTAACAAGCATATGATTTGTTAAAAAAACTACTTTAGTTGGTTCAAAAAAAAAAACATGCCATCCGTAAAACCAATTTGGAAGAAACCAAGATAAAAACAACGTTTACAATTCAAAACACGTTATTACACAAGTTTTGTTCTAGAAAAACTGAACATCTTTAACTTGAGACCATAGTCACGAGAAGAGTCAATCTAAATATAACTCAATCAATAAATAAAGTATTGATTACCTTTCTTGAGATTGAAGATTCGGTCCTCGAACAAAAAGATTCGTGGCAAGAAGGTCAAACGACAGGCGGCCGAAAAGGGACAACTTTGCAAGCATTTTCATGTCTGTTTGGAGACCAGACATCATAGATTCTGCAGAAGAAAGCTTTGAAAAAGAGAGTGAAAGTGTGACAGAAAGTCAAAATCTACCCCTCCCTCCATCTGCTGCAAATGCAAAGTCTTCTTCAGTTCAGTTCAGACTGAGCTGCGCATGCTCCTTTTTCAGCCACCATGTCTTCAATTTCCAACACTTTTTGGTATTCAAATAAATTACCTTCATCATCAACCTTTGACTATGGCTTCTTTGTAATCATCATCGCTACATTTTGAATCCACATCCCATCTACCTTGGTTGTCTTTGTCACCTGCAATCATACAAGATCATGAGTCCTTCGATTCGACTAAAACTTTTCGATCCATAACGTGATGTATAGTACTTTGTTTCTTTGATCTGTGTGCTTGTGTAACTTCTATCGTGTTACTTTTTGTGCAAGTGTTGACAAAAGGATGAACTTTAAAGATGACGAACCTATGACACTGGAGTAATACTTGCATTTGAGCAAAACTTTTTTGGCTAGAAATGGGGATATGGGTTAAAGTTCGTGAATTTGGATATGCACTTGAAGTGCGAGAAGTAGTAGCTCTTTCATTCGCTGATTTTTTTGTTTGCCTGGAGTTACCTCTTTACTTCAAATCAAGGAGTGAAAGGGCTTCCGTTGGGTCTTCCTATCGTGTAGCAATTATGAACACGAGGGCTTCCGTGTTTTTCCAAAAACAAAAACTTTCTTGTGCAAAAAGTTCAGAAATTTCTGATAAATGAAGTTGAAACTGAAAAAGTGGGCTTCTATGGGAAGTATTTACTCAACTGTGTCAAGAAATCAGTTTTTCTTTACCACTCGGCAACAAATGATGGAGAGGTTTCTTAATGACACCAAATCCTTCTCTCATTTCATGACAAAAGTTTATATATTATAGGTTGTGACAAGCCAAACTACACAGCAGCAGCCAGCAGGGAGATAATAAATTAGAAGAAAGAAAAACTAAAATGATTTTTTTTCCTTGCAAACCCACACCCATTCCTTGAATCTTGCAGTCAATCTATAGGAAGAATTACCCGGTTCGTATTCTATCAAGCCGATCGACGCTCTTTCTTGCTCTTTCCAGCTGGTGGTCGACGCTTTTCCGTGACTTTTCATGGCAGTCAACACTTCTGCGGGACCTTTCCGCATGATTAAACGAGAGTCTGAGCTTTTCTAATTTATCAGTAGCACTGGAGTGATTCTTCAGCCTCTCTGGTTGATCGGTGCTCCGCCTCGGCTTTTCTCTCCGGTCCGTGCTCTTCCTTGGAATCTCGAAAAAATCCGTGCTCTTCCGAGGCTGCTCATATTGGTCTGTACTCTTTCTAGCACTGTATCGTTGGGACGGAGGTTTCTCGACCGTTGCTACAAACTTCTGTAGATGCCTAATATACTCAGGATAGAGCTCAAGATTACAGTGGTTTCCACCTTTTAGCCATAGCGGTTCGTATTTCTCTTTACAGAGTTCCCAAAGTTGCTTGCCATGGGAGCAATCAACCACATCATCTGAAGTTCCCTGCAAAATGACGTAAATATGCCTTGAATACTTTCCAGGGGAGTTGTACAAACCAATTCATCGAGACAGAAGCACAAATTAAAGACAGAAAATATGAAGAGAAACCTCTACTCTTTTCGGTGTCCGAAATCAATTCTAAAGATTGTCATGTTCCTAAACTCGATGGTCATTTGATACCCTCCATCTTTGACAAAGTCCGGATGCACAAATGCAACATGCCACACAAGACACTATCAGACTAAATGTAGGCAAAATCAGTGGTTTCCCAGGTAATACAGTTTGTTGCCTAGATAAAGCGGACTTCAGATTCTTGTTTTCAATCATTAATCAATCTTGCTATATCCGAGTTAATCTCGTCGAAATTTTCATGTATTTCTCATGGAAAATGAAAATAAATAATGAACCAACTAAATCAAAAGATGATAATACTTCATTCATCTTCTGGTAGCATCACACTAATTAACAGCAAAAACGAGTGAATCATATTTCTTAACTCCTCAGAACATAAAGTGAGAAAGCACCAAACTTCTTAGCCTATTCAAAACCGTGATGCATCGGTCGCACATAATCATATCTATAATCCATATGTAACTAACAATGCACAAAGCCATAAGAGGAAATAGGTTGAAGATCATCCTTACATGAATAATAAGAATCGGGCAATTAACCAGTGAAATTTTGTCGATATTCTGCACATACAAAAAAAAATTACCATTTATTACACATAGATATGAAAACAAATAAATCAAGAAGAAAATTTTACCTTATAAATATCAAACCAGTACGAGCGCTTCACAGGATACATGACTCTTAAGCCAGAAAGTATTGGACTATGCAAAACAACAGCTCTTAAGCGAGGAAGTCGAGCTGCAAGATCCAAAGCCGGACCGCTCCCAACAGATTGACCATATAGGATGATATCTTCCTGCTTAGTACCATAGCTTTCTTCAAGACACTTATATGCAGCCTCAATATCTGCATATGTATTTTGCTCAGATGGCTGCAACACAATATTAGGTCTCAGATGAGACTTGACAGATCCTATCATTGTATTGATATAGAATACAGTGTTGTTTCTGTCATTAGAAAGAAATGTCAACACACCTTTCCAGATGATTGACCGTAACCCGAATAGTCGTACCTGCACAGAGTAAAAGGCAGTGGAATCAGGCAGAGTACTACAATTTGTGTCCTCAACCAGTTGCTTCTTACTTTCTCATAATACGCTTAGATTATCTAGACCCGTTTTGCAGACACGGTGAGCTCGAGAATTTTCATTGAACAAGAAGATCAAAGATACACTTGCTAGTACAAGTACATCTAACGAATTCTTAATTGGAGCTGAATTAGGTTCTTCCAGTGTTCTCCATGAAATACCAGTTGCTAGCAGAGGTAAAATTTTAGCTTCTGAATCTTGGTGAATTGAAGAGCTTCAAAAGTCATAAGATCAAAAAGATGGGAGCATGGATTCACATCTCCTCCTACCTGCAGTATGTGCTTGAAATAACATATAAAGAAACTAACAAATGCTTTGAGGCAAAGATTCGATTCACTGAGATGCACTATTTATCATCTTCCCCAGTATCTAAACTTGCCAAAAATCTCTCTCTGAAACTTTGATTTATAAGGATGATAGGTTCATTAACTGAAAATTAACATAGTGAATATGATGCCCACACAATTGGAAGATCTGCCTAAATATAATTCAGAAAAAAGTGAACCAAAACTTAAGGCTCCATAAAGAAAACCAATAAAACAATTTGCAGCCTTGAATCTCCAACTAAATATGCTTAAATTGAAAAAATATAAGCAATCAAAACCATTATCTTCTAAAATTTCAAATCAAGCACAGATTTCTCACACACACCATCCAAAACAGAATGCCAAAACAAATTGAGAAGAATATCAAAATGCCAAAACAGAGAGAAGAAAAAGAGAGGAAAAGAAAATAGTACCCCATTAGATTAACGCGCAGGTGAATGCTAAGCTCGATGAAGAGCTCATACATTTGGCCCAGATCGGCGGCGTTGCCGTGCGAGTACAGCAGAGTGGAAGTCGCCATCGGATGCCGGACATAGACGGCGACGATATCGTTGCTCCGGCGAGTGGGTAACTTCAGAACCTCAACGTTTTCGCGGTGGGGAAAAGGGCTAAGAAGCAAAAGGCCGGTAAGATCATCGGTGATGAGGTTGTAGGAAGGAGGGTTCGGCGGGAAGAACGCGAACTTGGCCGCCATGGAAGAGGTCACGCCGCCCATATCGCCGCCGCGTCGCAACCCGCGAATTTAAGTATCTAATCAGAAAACCCAAAAACGAATCAAGCGACGATTTATGGGAATTCAAATTGAAAGCGACATTCCTCTGGTTTGTTGAGAAGATTGTGCGCTTTTAGAGACAATGGAAAAGGGGTACAGAAATTGTTCATCCAGTGACTGACTGGCGCTGCTGCTGCTACATGATTCTTCAAAGGCTCGAGGCTCCTCCTGCTCAGAAATCCACCATGTTTTAGAGAGAGAAAGGGTTCAGTGGTGGAGCAGTGGGGTGTGGAGATTGAATTATTTTGAAGGGGCAGACTCAGTACTCAGTAAGTGAGAGGGAATAATGGCGGACGCAGAGCTCAGCTCTGCTGATGCTTCGTTTGGTCAAAAAATGGCTTTTTTTTTTCCTTTTTCCTTTTTTTTTTTTTTCCTAAGCTCTATATGCGGATATCGTTTACCATGGTCATTTTATTCTTATTTGATTAAAATTTTAACATGATATTTAGTCACTAAATTTTTTTTAATTTGGCCATAAATCTATAAAATTTGTGTTGAAATTTTATAAATAAATACTAAAATGATTATTTTTTTAAAGTTTAGGGATTAAAATAAATTAAAGTTGATAATATATGAATCAAAATGGACATTTTTTGGAATTATTGATACCAAATGAATGGAAGTCAAACATACCAAAATAGTACTTAAACATTTTTCATCTAATCAAAACTATTCAAAATCAAATTAATCAAATATACCATTTTTTAAAATTTCATTTTAATCCCTACACTTTTAAATTACTATTTTAATATCAAAACTTTTAAAAATCAATCCATTTCATCTTATTTATCTTTTAATGAATGGACAACTTAATTTTAAGTATGTTTATCATGAAAGTCGTTCATATCATCATAGAAGTATAAATTTTTCAATTTAGCTTGAACAGTAATAAGTAGTAAATATTAAATATCAAAATAATAGTAGCTGTTATTCATCTTTAATCTAAGTATCGTATATGTATATTGATTGTTGGAGGTGATTTTAAGCTCACACGTGGCACATCTTGATTGAGAAATAAAGTCATATATGGCCTCGATTGATAAGGCTCATTTCCTTACATTGATCCTCTTACTTGTGATGGAGTGAGCGCGGCCGAGCCAACCAAGCTAGCTTGAGATTTCGTTCCCATTTATTGGTTGAACTGATTGGTTTCACTTCGGTTCAGTGCCAGTCTCCGACAGACCCATCAATGCACCACTATTCACAGTTATATTAAAGAGTCGTTGAGGCTTTGTCGGGAACATTGTCGGATGTTTCGCCTATAAATAGAACCCATTTACATCATTTTCAGGTAAGCAAACACTAAATTTTCTCTCGAGTTTAGTTCGACCAATTACTAACTTTAACATCGGACTATGTTATGTTTTGTAGGTTCCAATTCGTCTACCGAATCATCCTTAATCCGAGTCGAGATTTGCAGAGTTGGTCAATTTCATGATCAAACATTGATATTTTGAAAACTCAAGTTTTTATACTTATTCGTTATAATACAATTTAGTAATTTACACGCCAAAACAAGCATAACTCAATGGTAATTGACATATACCTCTAACCAAGAGGTTGTGAATTCGAATAATGCATAAAGTATTCCAATTTAATTTAGAAATTTTATCTAAATTTCATTCTCTATATGTTATAAAAGAATTAATAGGACTAGAATGTTTTGCCTTTTAAAAAAATAAAAACAAAATAAACCCATTTGATAACCATTTCATTTTTTATTTTCTGTTTTTAAAAATTATGCTAAGAATATTACTTTCACCTATGTATTTCTTTATTTTGATACATAATTTTTTAACATTTTCAGAATCTAGGTTAAATTTTTTAGGAAAAGAAAGTAGTTTTTTAAAAATTAATTTTGTTTTTCAAATTTAGCTAAGAATTAAAATATGTTTTCAAGAAAGGTGAAAGACTTACCAACGAAATTGTACAAAACAAGTATAATTTTTAAAAATAGAAAACTAAAAACGAAATGGTTATCAAAACGATATCTGACCAAATAAACCTAGACAGATTATTCTATAAATAATATTTAAGTGTTTATGAATAAGTAAGTATTATCAAAACAGTATAAATTAAGTTTGAAGCATCAAAGTGGTCTTTGTGCCTTTAGCTGGTTGTGAAAGGGCAAAATTGTTTGAACATGATTTACATAATGAGGCCATACCATAGAAAGCTGTTCCTTCTCTTTTTTTGGTCTAGTTTATTTTCACATTGATATAAAATTTTTAAGTTAAATTATGAATTTAATCCCTACTGTTTCAATCTCGTTAATTTAAAAATAATTTAATCTCTATAGTTTGAATTTTGTTTCAATTTAATTTTATAATTTTAAAAGTTTCAATTGAATCCCTACAACCTTACCAATGGTCTTAAATCGTCTTTTACCCGCTCAAAAAAACTACCAATTTCTTTCTATTTTTTTCAATCAACTAACTCAATTAACCAAATATAACTAGACTCATTGGGGTAAGAACTAATTTAATCCAAACAATATTTTATAATTTTAAAAACCACAAAGACCCAATTAAAACAAAACAACACAAATGGTAGAAACTAAATTAAAACTTTTAAAACCTCAAGCCCATCTGGACCAAATTTTCAATACAAACATCCTTCTAAGGACGATCATATTGACATTTCTTTCAATTTCAAGCTTTATATCTAGGCTTACTCCCATTTTTCAACTAAGTTTACTGTCATAACTAATTCAAAACGTCAAGGATCATGTGGTTAGGTGAATATTCGGTTGTCAATCAAGATCGAACAAAAAAGGGGAGAAAAACTCTTCCAGACCTCAGAAGTCCCATCAGCTTCAACCTGATCAATAGCACCAATGGTAAAAATCATTCTCAATTATAGTGAAGAAAATAATTCAGAATAGGCACATGGGAAGGGGAATGATAATTTCCTCTATCCAAATCATATAGAGCAAAAAGTCCAAACATCTATGACGGAGTAGAAATTCGAACTTCTGACCTTTTCATTGAGGATATGTCTTAACCAATTGAACTCTACTCTCTATCAAACTTAATTCATACCATGAAAAGGTTTAGGAGAGATCTTGATATGAGATATGTCATAATATGCATGTACTAGATGGGGATTTTAGTCAAAACTAATCACAAACATTGATTTTCCTGAAATTCAAAAATATATTTGTGTTCCAGACCCCACAAAAAGTTTCTTTAAAAAAAATTAATCCAGACATGTCATAATATCAGCCACACTACATGGACCCAAATTTAAGGAGAAAAGCTTCAAATCAAGATATCATAAAGCAAGCATCAAACTCATATGTTTGAAAATGACTAAATAACAACTAAATATAAAGGAAAGATAACTAGGAAGTAGAAATTAAGCTATGGGCAGAATAAAGTGAAGGGGGTCCCACGTTTTATGTAAAAGAATAGAGGAAAAAGAGTTGTGGGTCTCTGTGATCTTACCTCTTTCTTTTTTGTTGTAGTGATGGGATGATGAGACATGTCTCCCATCCATGGCAGAGAATCTGGATTTACCTCACATATTTCTTTGCTTGGCTCTAAAGGTACATTGTGCACATCGATGATCAGGTTGAGCAGCTGTATCGGTCTAATTCCGATAAACAGATATGAAACAATCTTTTAGCCTAATAACATGTAGAAGAGTCTTTCTTATCAAGAGGGATAACAAATTTATCGTTCTTATGGGATCATTCAGCAGGCTAAAATGCTATCTATACCATACTCAGACCGATACCGAGAACACCTATTGCCAAGTGGCAATGTATGAGAAGACGGAAGTGGCAAGTATACGGTCTACATCAACTTGATGATCGGGACAAGCCCTCTTCAACTACATGAAACAAGAATGACAATAGATTCTGGAAAAGATATCTTTCATATACATGTCACAATAGAAAACAAAGCCTATCGGGTCATTGTTGTCAACTCCCGTCAATCAATACATCGATGAGCTCCCAACAACAATAATTGGTTCCAAATATTGGAAATATTGAATTCTTGAGCTTCTACCTCAATTTCAAAATCAATGTACATAATTAATCACATTAATGTATGTTTATGCTATCTCAACTAATAAGTCTTAGCTAGCAATGAAAATACATCATATATTATCACAGCATTCTCCAGCCTGTGAAGCAACGTTCAGTTCTGTACTAGAAGATTATCTAAGATGTTCTCATCGATCAGTTTTTTCTAAGAGCCAAGTGGCAATAATTGAATGAGCTGGATGAAAACTAGTGAAAATTTAGATATCTAGACAAGTTATATTTAGGATAGCTCAATATGAAAGCCAATCGGAATGCAAGACAAATAAGGTTACAGCAGAATTAAACAAAAACCAGCTTTTCCTGTCCAACAACCAGTAGTAGAACAAACTATTACACTCTGTACACAGACTAATTAATGATATTGCAAACTAATTAGGAAGGTAGGCGTGTATTTCTTGTGTTCCAGGCTACTTCGTGATCACTATCAAGATCCCACCCTTGTGATCATTGTCAAGATACCAAAGGAAAAAAGGAAGCCCAATTAAAATTATGAAACTATTACACTTTCTTTTGTGTGTGGACAACAAAATGTAGCCGTCCAAAAAGAGAAGTCCAATGTCATAAGACAAATTGGATTTCAAGTTTAACGACATGTATGGGTGGAGATTCAAACCTCGAACCTCCTTAGTCGAGAATGTATACTTTTAACCAGTTTAACTATACTTAAGTTTAAGATAAATTTGATTTCAGCGAAAGACGTGCATTGTTTGCACTAATATCTGAAGGAAATTGCATCACCCCTCTCCATACCAATCCACAAGAGCATAAAACCATTTTAAAAGAATTCTGTTTCCTAGTGTTTTCTGATTGAGCAAACTTAATACCATACACAACAAACAGATTGATTATTCAGAACCATAAAAAGGTCTAATTTCATCTCATATAACCAGAAAATTGTTCCATTACAGAGATTCATTGGGAATAAACTAGATAACAACCCTTCATCTTACACCAGTATCAACCTTGAAATTAAAACAAAATCTGCCATAAAACCCTACTCCAGAAGGTACCTATCACTATTTTACTCATATGAATCATTTGTACTTCAAGTTAGCAGAACACTTCGAAACTTATTCCGGAAAATGAAAAGCAAATCTGTTCTGTGAAAAGTCTGACTTGAGCTTGAAACAATAATCTCTTAAGAATTTGCCGCTAGAGAACAATAACGATGGAAATTCTCTTAGCCCAATCTACAAGACTGAAAGCAAAACGAAATAGCTCGGTCTTGCAATCCATTGAAAAAAAGAAAAAAAAAATCTTACCAAATAAAGCTACTATGTCTGCCTCCGGAGCCGCTTCCGCAGCTTCTTGTACTTGTGCTTGTTCATCTTCCGCTTCCTCTTCTTTTTCACGCTATCAGCCCACAACTTCCGAGAATCATCTTGCTCATCATAATCCGGCACGAACGGAACCAACCCAGTTGAGGAGATTTGCGGCAAGCAAAGCCCAAACGGAAAACTAGGGTAAAACTGCAAAAACTGAGACGGATTCGAAGCAGAAACTGAGTTCAAATTAGCATCCCAATGCCCATCTGGTTTACTGATGATATCGAGCGGCTGGTGAAGAATGCAGGGTGCTGAGAGATTTTGTGACGGCTGGCTACGCAAAGCAGCAATTATTCTTGTGGGTGGCGATTTTCTGACGAGTTTTTGGAGCATCGACGCCATTGAATCAGAGCGAAGCTTTCCAGAGATAATAAAGCTGTATCTTTAGCCCAATCTCTTGATGTAGGTGGAAGAGAGAAGGATGGAGGTGGACAGCGGAAGTGAACTCCAAAGAAAATCGGAGAAGAACAAACCCTAATCAGATGTTAGGGACAGAGAGGAGTGAAAAATGGGGATTTTTTCTTTTCTCACAAAAATAGCTTTTTTTTTCCCCTTTCGATTCAATTTCAATTTCTTATTTCTGAAATTTCAATTTTACTCTCCCCAACCCACAAAGAGTCGGATTATGAAGCCATACTTCGGACCGGTTCAAGTCTGATCTGTTTGGGTGGTTCGACTCGAATGATTTGACTCAGCAGTTCGACCATGTGACTTTTCAAACTTCAAATCTGATGGATTAATTTTACTCCAGGAATATTAAATTTTCATCACATTTAACTATATCCACAGATTTTATATCGATAGATTAAATTGAAGCAAAAAAAAAGTTGTATAATAATTCAAAATTTGTGAAATATTTGTTTGTTATTTAAATATTTGTTAGCAACTTTTTTATATTTATAATTTTTTTATAAATATTCATCAATATCAATATTTTGTCGATGTTTTAATCAACATTTCTTAAAATTAATATCATTATCTTACTAAATAATTTGAAGGTTGGTTTTAGGTCAAAATTTTGATATGGCGAGAGAAGTAAGTTAACCCAAATAAAACAAATCAAAAGTGAAAAACAAAAGGGGAGGGAAGAAGAAAGAAGGGTGAAGGAAGAAATGGGTACTATTGAGCACAAAGTTGATAGTTTTTATTAGGGCATCGCAAATATGTCAAAAATATTCAATAAAATTAGTAAAATAGCAACTACATTTAGTTTCTTTAAATATAACATTTTTTTTAAATGGAGATCCAATTTTAAAATGACAACTTTACCCAAATGATATACATCTGTAATATATCTACAGTATATTTGTAATATATCTTACTACTGATATAAGTATCTGATATATATGAGTATCTGATATAATATGTGATACTACTGATATGAGTGTATGTACAATATGTATGTGATATACATCTAATATACTATAGATATGAGTGTCTGATATACTGATTTGAGTATCTGATATACTATTGATATGAGTGAAAATTTTTACTATATTTGAAAATTTTAAAAACAAGTGATATATTTTGAAATACATAAACAATTTTTGCTTCCCGCTACAATTTTTCTTTTTATTAGATACTATTTTAAAAGTTCAAAAATCTAATTGTGAAAGTTGAGAGACTAAATTTATAATTCTTTTAAACAACAAAATTTATAATTTCACTAATTACTTTTACGTATTTATTCCACATGACAAATTTCATTTGACATAATGTAAATAGCCACATAAACACTGAACTAACGGAGTTTGACTGAGTTAATGGTCAGGACCTATTTAACAAAGTTTGAAAGTTCAAGGATCTATTTGACACAACCATAAAAGTTCATTAACTAAATTTGTAATTTAACATATATATTAATACCCTCGATTTTATTTTATTTATTTAGATTGGAAAAAAAATCAACTTTTACACCTAAACTTGATCAGATGTATCAATTTTTAATCAATCTTTTTTTTTCCCTCATGTAGTTCAACAATATGTGATAGTATGTATTTAGAGCTCTAACATTTTGGTCAAAGTTATAATGCCTTAACCAGTTGAGCAATACTCGAACTGGTATTTTAAACTTAGATAAGTATTGCAATTTTAAGTTTAGATAATTTTTTTTTCTAATTCAACAATAGGTGGGAGTGGAGATGCTAACCTCTCGCATTTTAATTTATATTATAATGTCTTAATCAGTTGAACTATATTTAAATTGACATTTTAAACTTATAAGTGTTCCAAATTTAGCCATTGATACTTTACCTATCAAGCTTACGTGTATTCAATTAATTGTAAAACCTACCCCTAATACAAAATTGAGAGGTTTGAGAGAAAAAACAACATTAGAGTTGATTTTTTTTTTTCGAGTTTTGGAAGATTACTTCAATGGTCAATCTTGTACACTGATCCGCATTGATCTTGTACAAAACTTTATTTTCGTTGAAATCAGCAAGTTTAGGGAGACTTTTACTTTGCCTTGTGATAAAACTAGTAAGTGAATGCAACAGAAATTGATCTGCAACCTTCATTTAAGTCATCTGCGGTTCAATTTATAAAATTAAGGGTAAGAGTTAGTTGTTTTTTGTCAAGGACAACGATATCCGAGTCTCCACAATGGTATGATATTATCTGCTTTGGGCATGACCCTCACGGATTTACGTTTGGTTTAAGAGATAATTGTCTTCCCTAATCAACGTGAGACTTTGTTTGCAATCACCTCAGACTCAATAAGAGTCATATAATTTTAAACAATTAACAATTTAGTCTCATAACTTTTACATGATACGCCATCTCAAAACCTTATTATGAAATGATTTATTCTCTTGTAATTTAAAATGTATAATAATTTACTCTATCTTGTGAAAAATATTCAATACATTATTAAAATATATCTGATCCTAAGGCTCGTTTGATAATCTTTTTAGTTTTTGAAAAATAGGGTTGTTTGGTAACCAATTCAATTTTTTGTTTTTAGTTTTTCAAAAACCATTTTGAAATCCTAGGTAAATTTAAAAAAAAAAACAATTTTCAAAAAATGATTTCTGTTTTTTAAAATCTAATTTTTTTATTCTAATACTCAATTTTTTTTATCATATTTATCTCTAACAAAATTCTTTCCCACTCTAAAAATTTTTTTCTTTATAATTTTCTCTCAACAAAAATTATTTTTCTCTCTCTAAAATTTTTATATTTTGAATATTTATTCTTATTTGTCTCTCCCTCAATTTTTGTGTTTTTTATTTTTTATTTTTTATTTTTTTAACAGACCAGTTTCATTTTTCTCTCTAAAAATTTAATATTTTTCTGAAATTTTTTCTCTCTAAAATTTCATCTTTTATAACTTTTTTTTTCTTCGTAATCTATTTTTTCCTCTGAAAATTATATGTTTTTTTTCTCTAACTGTAACTTTTATTTATCTTTGTATTTATTTATTCCCTCTAAAAATTATATTTTAAATCTTGTTTTTATCTCTAAATTTTTTCCACTACAATTTTTCTCTTTCTCTCTAATTTCTTCTTTCCTTTTTCTTTACATATCTTTTCTCTCCATTTTACTTTTTTTTTCTCCAAAATTTTTCTCTTTTTTGTCTTTAATGGTTATTTCACTAATTTTTTTTTCTAAATCTTTTTATTTATCTCTCTAAAATTTATCTTCCAAAAGTTTATTTACATCTTTTCAAACTTGTATTTTCATATCTTTATATTATGGATGATAACCAGGGTTGGGCGCAAAAAATAGGAAAAGTAGGTCCCGATCTTGTCCCCGATTCCATTTTTAAATAATTAATATATATTTATTACACTTTTTTATTTTTTAAATTCTAAAAATAATTAAAAACAATTATAAAACCGATAATCTTTCTCGAGAATATCTCTTGGACTGAAGAATGAGGTGGAGATGGGGATTAAAAATTTTCACGAATACGAGAATGGGGGAGAGCATTCTCACTCGCACCCACATCATTTTCATCTTTATTCTACATAGAATTTTCTCTTATTTTCAATTTTCTAGCTTTTTAAAAACAGAAAAATTAAAATGGTTAAACATATTAAAAACAAAAAAAAAACAAAAACAAAAAATGGTTATAAAACATATATTGTTTTTTATTTTTTTTAAAAAACCAAAAACTAAAAAATAAAAACAGAAAAATCCAGAAACCAAAAACCAAAAACAGAAATAGTTATCAAACTGTTCCTGAGTGATTTATTGGTCCATAAATAAAAGTAGAAAATTGTAGGTTAAAATACTATTTTAGTCCCTATATTTTTAGATTGGTTCATTCTAGTCATTGTACTTTGAAAATGTTCACTTTGGTCTCTATACTTTTAATTTTGGGTTATTTTGATCTTTGTACTTTGAAAATGTTCATTTTGGTCACTGTACTTTTAAAAAGTAATCATTTTAGTCTCTCTTTGCAAGATTTTAACAATATTTTATACATAATGGAAACTATTTAGTATAAACTAATGTGTACATGGTAAGAAACATATTGATCATATGTTGAAATTGTGATAAAAAATATGAGAATTAAAATAAAATGAAAAGACCAAAATTGTCACTTTTTAAAAGTACAGCGACTAAAATAAACATTTTTAAAGTATAAGAAGTAAAATGAACCAAAGTAGAAATAGGGACCAAAACGAACATTTTAAAAATATAAATACTAAAATAAACTAAAATTAAAATTACATAGACCAAACTAGTATTTTAACCAAAATTGTATTACACTTTCACGACTAAGTTGTTAAAGACATTTAAACTACCGTACTAAATCGTGATGTGTTTTGACATTTTTTTTCCTTTTGACCCCTGACATTACCCCCCATTCCCCAGAGCATTTCGAAAATACAAAATTGCCCCAGATCTTTTGGAAATTAAGAAACTGGCTCTCGCTGTCTTCGGAGTTTTTCTTGAATTCCTCCGCGAGTCGCTTGCGTTCAATTCCGCTTGTGGAGATTCTATGACAGCGACGATGGGAAGGCGATCCATATGGGTTGCTCTTCTCGTCCCCTTTCTCCTGCTTTTCATGCGACCGCACGGAGTTTCTTCCACTCTTCCTCTGCAACCATTGATTCAGGTGCATATTTTCGCCTATGAATTGAACCGCCTCTGTTAGATTCAAATTATCCGACATGGGTATCCGTGAATCCATCTTAGAAAATGAATTTCATTGTTTGATTCCGTAAAAAACGATGGATGAGCAAATTCTTTGTACGAGCAACTCAGTTTTAATGCTCTAGAGTTTGATTTAGCTTCCTCACGATTTGGTCTCTTCGACCAGGTAATTTATTGCAGAATAAATAACAATCGTTGATGGGTTTTTATTAATTCATCTAGGAAATGAACTATTTGAAATTGTCTGTTGAGAGATTGAGGTGGAATTACCTCATTACTTCCCTTCAAACTTCTAAGTTTATATTTTCATTTTCTTACGTATTAGTTCAAATGCAATATCTAATTGGTATAACATCAATTCTTTTCTGTGTGACCTTCTTCTTTGTTGTTATTTTGCCTTAGGGTTCTAAAGATTCTGCCCCTCTAAGGTAACAGTTTGGTTCTTTACATCACCTATGTTCTTATGGACTGAGCAATTGATCATTGTTTTTTTTCCTTCTAGTTTTTATTACTTGTTTCCAAGTAGATGCTATGGTGTATTTTCTTTTCCTTACGATGATAATAAATTTTTGGGCTTTGGAGTTGATGTTCAGTACTCCAAAGCAGGATTTCAACAATGCTCATGAGGTACACTGCTCGAGAGAAAGGAGTCGGGTAGCATGGAAAATAATTGAGGAGGTATTGAATCAACCCTTAAATGGGGTTTTATTTACTTATATTGCTGGGCATGCTTGGTATGATATGGTACGGTATTAAACTAAATCAGAATGTTCTTACCCTGATGCAGTATCTAATGCCCTTTGTGAACAAAAGGAAATACAAGATTTCTACCGATTGTAGGCTTCACCCCGATAACGACATGTTCAGAGATCAAGAACAGCACAAGAGCCATCTAGATTTTAATGAATGGAAGTGTGGATATTGTAGAAAAAGATTTTATGAAGAGAAGTATCTTGATCAACATTTTGACAACAGGCACTATGATTTGCTCAACACGGTAAGTCGCCTTTGATGATTCAACTCCCAACCAGCAGGGATGATAAGTAGGTCGTTATGAGATCATTTTAGGAGAATTTTTCTATTAAATTGTGGGCTTATATTAATTCACTGTGTATTATATTGCCATCTAATAAGTTATCTTGGATGTGAGATATAATATGAGACTCTAGGTGCAATATGTTCTGGCTTCTTTCTAGTCATTGTTCTTGAATCATTCCCGGTAAAGAGGCTTCCTCCTAAGGATGTAAATTTATTGGTGTCATTGTACAAATTTTGTTTTGTTTACCCATTTGTTATTGATTTCTCATTTTTCATATTAGATGCTCCCCCTCTCTCTGTTTGATACATATACATTTCCGGGGCAGGGGGAGTAGAGTTGGTAAATTAGATGAAAGGCAATATAGATTACAGTAGCAAGCGAACTTCATTTACTCACAGAAAAAGATGAGAGCCGGTAAGGAATAAAGTTAGTTTGAAAGGGAGGGACTAGGAATAAGAAATCAACTTTTATTGAGAACAAACGAAAGAATACACGAGGGCAAAAGTGAAAGGGAGGGACTAGTTGGTCTTTTTGTAGAACATGCAATTTGTAAGTCTGTAAGGCAGGGGTATATGAGGCTAATCACGTATAGGGAGGGGAGTGAGTTAGCCTACAAGAGACGACTAGAGTTCTCTAGAGAGGTAGAGAACTAGGCCTCTGGAAAACCAGTATCGTTTTGCTTTCAGATAGTTTCTATTCAATTAGACTATATTGGAGTATTTATATAGATTTCGTGCTATAAGATCTTAGAGTCACCGACTTGGGAACGCACAATTTTTTAGTAAAGGATGAGTCTGGCTTTTCTTATTTACTTTGTTAAATCAACCTAAGTACATGTAGTATTTCACTATTTAGTAACAGTTTTGAGAAGCATGCCAACCGAGCATAGCGCAATTAGTCAAGGCATATATGCTTGACCGAAGGTTAGAAGTTTAAATCTTCACCTCCTCATGTTGAATTAAAAAAAAAAAAAGGTTTTGAGAAGCATGTCTGATTAACCTTAGCGCTTTTGGGAAAAGCATGTCTGTCATGTGTCAAAAAGGAAAAAAAACCTGAATTTTCCTCTGGCTCTTGATAATAGATTACATGGTCCCTTCTTTTACTTATGCTTCTGAACACGTCCCTTAGACATTTGAAAAAGAGTAATGTTTGCTTCAGCTTTAGTTGATATCTCACTTGAATTAATTTGTTCGTGTTCAATCCAGAGTCGTATCAAGTGCTTGGCGGATGTCTGTGGTGCATTGCATTGTGACCGTGTGGTAGAAACAGTATCACAGAAAAGTAAATGCAATCCTGCTGCTGCTGCAAGAAAAAAGCATATGTGTGAGGTGACCTCAGAAGATTTCTTGCAGATTTCTTCTTTATTTCCACAAAAAAATCACCACCCAATTGTTCAACTCATTGCAGGTTCTAGCTGACAGTTGTTTTCCCGTTGCCGAGGGTGCTTCGGCCAGCCATCTTCACGGTAACTTTGGAATTCTCCCCTCCCCTCATTTGCCAATCACTTTCACTACTTCTATCATCTATCTAATGAAACACTTCTGGTGTAATTCAAATGGTAGAATTCTTCTTGCGCCAATTCTGTGATGCACACACTTGTAGCGGAAAGCCAAAACCTTTTTCCCAAGGTCAAGAGGTAATTAGTTGCATAGGTCGATTAATGTCGATCAAATCATCTTAATTTCATATTTCATTTATGCATCAGACTCATCGATTTATGCAAGAATCATCTTAAGTTCATCTGGCCAGTAGAAAAATAGAATGTCATTTTTTACATGAATCAATTTTTAGTGGATGAACACGTAATGCATAACTGTAGTATTTTCTTGCACTTGTACCTAATGAAAACCTCTGATGAAATTCCTTTTTGTCGAACACGTTCTTCGGTGTTCTTGCAGGTTAGGACAAGTTGGTTCTACATTGTTATTTCGATTTTGACAGTCCTATTTGTGCTGTTTTTTTATGTCTTCATTTATTTGTACAAGAGGTATCTCTCTTCTGCCCACCTTCCTTTGTATCGGTTCATGGAAAGCTTCAACTTTGACTCGATAATGATGTTCGTCTTACAGGGGAATGAGAACGAGACCGCAGGTGCTGAAGCGCCTCTCGGAAAGTGGAAGAAAGAAAAAACCTTCATAGATGGAATCCCTTGCCTCTTCAATTACAGAATGTAGATTTATTTTCAACTCATTTTTTAGAGGAAAAGGGAGGTGAGAGGGCAAAGTTTGTTCTTTGAACCAGTTTGTTTTCTTTCCATCATTTGTATCCATAAAATTATAAATATAAGTTCAGCTTCTAGAGGAATGAGATTTTTGTATCATAACATTCGTTTGAGAAATAGAACCACTTCATGAAGGTTAATACTTGAGCATTCAATGTGATAGTTCAATCCATTATTTTTCACATCTTTGTTACAGTTGCTGATTACGAACAAGAAATATTCACAGACAAGATAAACTAGTGACAAATATTTAATACATGTATCAACGATCAAAAGATCTTAATCAGCAACTCCACGTATTGAACCATAATCAAGATTAGGAGATATAATATAGAAAGATGACTTAATCTTGTTCATTTATTTATATTCTATTAAATTAATCAATATTTGTTTAATAGATATATCTCGCAGTGGAAGATTACATAAAATTATAATTAAATAATTTTAAAGCCCGAAACAATGAAATCTTTAAATATTTAATTTAGAGATTAAATAGACAACCATCAAAATATATTTTAATATCTCATCAAAATATAAAATAGTTATTTTTTTCTTTACAAGTTCATGCTGGTCCTAAGACCGACTCTCCAGACCTCAAGAGTTTAAGGAGCTAAAGCAATAATCAGCATCTAGTTTCATGCTAAGGTTCTTGACTCAATAGTAAGTCAAGGATCCCAAATGCATATAGGTAAGATTTAAATTTGTACAGTAGTTGAATCTTTTCTCATCAGCCAGTTTGAGGCAGCCTATCTTCTTTATCTCCTTGCTAAATAGTGAACTCCCTCTGATCATTGCACAAGATTCTCATAGTTGATTAGCTGAAAGGCAGATAAATTGACCCGAACACTCACGATTGGGAAACAAAAGATACTCAAAAGACGGGAACAGTTGACTCATCCATCATTTTCTCCTAGGTGGATCTCGACTCAGCCCATGCTTCTGTAGTGTTCTAACATAATTTCTCAAGAGTGTAAATTTGTTGCTCCCGAGATGGTAGAAATAATCCCATGAATAAATCCCAGTCTTATGCAAGTCATCAAAAAGTATCCTAGCAAATTGTAGCAACAACAAAATTTCCAGGACCAAAATAATATGTTCAGATTCTTGCAAGCCAATATGGAAAGAGATTATTTAGATTTCAGAAACACCCATATTTACTAGTAATTTCAAAGTACCTTACCCCATAGTTCCCAACTGGTTCTGCAGACATGATACCCACGTGACGCCGCCCAGAAATCACCTACTTCAAAATCACGAATTTAATAATTGGATCTTATAAACAAAGTACCCAAAATTTAAGATGTTATTGATAATACAGTAGAAGCATCAGATCATGAGAATGTGGCTAAACATAAAATTGTACAAGATGAGCAGTCAAAGAGACCATTGCACACCCCTTATATATGAAAACCTCCAAAAATGTAGCTATAGAATAAGGGCAGTGATATCTCATAAACCTATTGAGTCTGAATATCAGATACTTACAAGTAGGGTCGAGAGGAATAGTAGAATTCTGAGGTGAGTTAAGACGTTTTGGAGGGAAATTTGGGAGCTGGTTAGATTTCATACCTCTCTCTGAGTGTCGATTTCTAAGGCTCTTTGTAATTATCATTTAGGGTGTTATTCTTTGGATTGAGGTCCGTTTTTATAGGTAGATCCATTTTTGTCGGACTTGTTTTTTGTATGGCCCTGCATATTATTGCATTTCTTTTTTTAAATAAAAAAGCAGCAAGAAGTCATGTGCTTCTATTGCATCAACGGTCAGTCAAATTTTTTACACTTGAGGTCCAAAACTAATCAACTGTCTTTAAAGAGATAAGTGTGAATGTGGTAACCAAGCTTACATACATCTTGCATCTTGACTAATTTTATAGGATAATTGTCTTGCCTACAGCATTTAGTGCAAGAAAATTCGTAAGATATTTAAAATCCTATGGTGGAAACTACAATTTAGCATCAGACTTCGCAGGTTGAAGAGTGTTTTTCTCTTCAACCATTGGACCAATCAAGGGCGAGTTGATCACAATTTTCAGATTAAAAGCTAATGGAAATGTCTTGCAAAAGAAGCAAAGAAAAGAAGGTTACAAAGAGTGAGGCCGTGCAGGTGAAATTAAAAGTTTGTTTCTACAATACCTTTTCACCCCCAATTGATCTGACCTTAGCATCAACAGCTGGGCTATATATTCTCAAGAATTCAGCTGACAAATTGAACAGACTTCCATCTGCAAATTTAACCTCTACCTGAAATCAAACGTTTAGAGAAATTAATCATAGTAAACAGTGTATGTTAAAGAGACCATATTCACTAACTAGAAACAAATAGCATATCACAACATTTAGCAAAATGAACTTCTAAATTCTAGAATAAGTTATGGAACTGTTATGAAAGAATATGGTAAAGTAAACCTAGATACCCAAGTTCAAAATAAGTGAATGAGAAGCCACACAGCTGTAAATAAATCAATATCATACAGACCCATTTTCTACAAAAAAAAATTATGACAGACAACCTTCACAAGATTTTAAGGTTTACAAGCAATAATCTAGTATCCAGTCTGAATCACTGAAACTGCAGTGTAATTAGCTACAAAGCCTGTATGAAATCCACTGAAGTGATGAAGAAAAATTGCACACGAACAATGCTTGAAACTTTGCGGCCATCCAGCCAAAACATACAATCTATTACATTGCTTTTCTCCATGAAATGTGGGCATCCAAAATTCAAATCCCATTTACCAAATGAATATATCGGGAAACCAATTTTCTAGAAGGAATAAATGCAATTTTTGTAACAGATTCAGCTTCAAAAACCATAAAAGATTCTACAAAAGACGAAACGAAATCGGCAGTTATGATTCAAATCACCATACAAAGCCCAGAAATCAAAAGCCGAGAATGGATAAATATTAGAAGATGGCCGAAGCAGAATCGAAATCAGATGGAAAACGAAGTTATTGTGGAGAAAAGGGTTACAAATTTGGGGGCGCGAAGAGCAAAACTGGTAAGTCGCGGAGCCTCCACGGTGGTATGGATCGTCCGGAAAGCTCTGTGAAGCGCCATTGTTGCTCCGAATATCTCACAAGTTCACAGCCTCGATCTCCCTGATTGATTTTCGTTCGGGTTTTCGCGCCTACTTGCTGGTTATCGGGTTCGAACCGCGGCCTGTTAATTTTCTCTTAAATCTTTTTTTAATTATACAAAGATACCCCTAAATTTTTAGGGCAAGTTTCAGTTTTGCCAATACTGTTTCAAAATGTCAATTCTACCCTCAGACTTTAAAATGGTGATCGGCAGTGCGTTGGACAGTGAGTTGTAAAAACAAGGGTAAAATAGTATTTTGGTCGATGCACTTATTACCTTTGTTTCATCTTAGTCTATGTACTTTGAAAATGTTTCTTTTAGCCCCTATATTTTTTAAAAGTGATCATTTTAGTATCTCGTTGATAACGAAAACTTTTTAGTCTAGAGTAATATTTACATTTTAAGAAATATATTGATTGTAATTCACCTGGTGTCAAAGTTACTGAATGAGTAAGTCATCAAATGTCGTGTTGAAATTGTGATGTAAAATATGAGATTTGAAATAAAATTAAGGAACCAAAATGATCACTTTTTAAAAATACGTGGACTGAAATGAACTAAAGTTGAAATTACATGAACCAAAATGAATATTGTGAAAGTACACTGACCAAAATGAACCAAAACTTAGGAACCAAACTGGTATTTTAACGTAAAAATAAAGATATACATAGATACAAGTAATTTTAATGATGTCCTTGAACTTTTACGATAAATTTCAATTATACTTTATAGTTTCAAAAGTCTTATTTTTAACCATTTAACTTTTAAAATGGTTCAAAACAATTATTCTATTAACTTTTTGTTTAAAATGAAGATGAAAATTTGAGGTGTTGCTGGGGAAAATAATTACGATAAAATATTGTTTAAATTTTCGAGGAGATAAGAAGAAACAAAATTCAAAGCCTCACTTCCAACACTAAATTGATAAAAAATAGGACGAACAAATAGAGCCAAGATAAGTGAATGTAGAGAACATGAATTACTCGAAAATTTTCTTACAAAATTAGTCCACCGCCAATCAATTTCTTTTTTTTTTTCCAAATCTCACTCTTCTGCAATTTTTCTCATATGAACACATTCAAAAACTCCTATTCCGAAATCTATTCCCCTCCCTAATGACCACTTCCGAAGAATCTTCCCACTTAGTCCAATTGGATTATGGTTTTTTTAAAGGGGCAGGACGGGTTAGGGACGAGGTCAAAATGTGTCCAATTCCTACCCTGCGAAAGTCTAAATAGGGGTTCTTCACCTCATTTGGGATGAGTCTCGCAAGAAAATGAACACCCCTACTTCAAACAGAGAATTGAATCTCCGACCTTTGGAGTGGTAAGTAATGTCTTAACCAATCGAATTATACTCATGTCCCCCTAATTTTCTTAAGATTAAAGAACACATTTGGTGGTGTAATTTCATAGTCCATAAATGTGAGTAGGTAACTATTTACACTATAAAAAAACTTAATTATTACCTACTAAAATTTAGTGATTAAATTACTATACAACTTTTAAACTTTAGAAACTATATCGTTACATATGAAAATTCATGGATTGAATCGTTACTTTCTTGAAATAATGATATTTCTAAAAGTGTAAAAACTCATTCTCTATCCACTTTAACTCACTCAATTGTCATTGATCAACATTCTTGTGGTAGGGATTTCATGACTAAACTATGAACATTCTTGTGGTTTGGAAGTTGGATTTTTATAGTTGAGTTCATATATATATATATATATTACTTCATTTTGAGTATGTTGAATTTTGTGTGAGTTGTTATGGATAATTTCTAATTATGTTTTAATGATATATTAGTTTCACTTCTCATTCAAATTTATGGTTCAGTTTAATGAGGTTGAATATTTAAAATGTTAAAACTGATCACTAAATCTTAATTAGGCAGATCAAATTTAACCTTAAAGTTTCGCCTTTTAAATATTTTTAATTACATTTGCCACTTCAAAATATTTTTGGACAAAATATTGATTAATTTGTTTTAAATCACTTTTACATTTTCATATGCTCATAGGTTAGACATATGGAGTTGATCGATATTTCCATAAAAAAATCGATGAAGTATTAGAAAATTCAACAAAATATCATTAATGTATGCATAATATTAATAATCGGAATTTTAAACATACTTAAAAAGTATAAAATGCTTACACGTTAATTTAAATAATTTTTATAAATTTTTATTTTTATAAAATTTCCAAAAAAATTCCTCGTCACCAATATTTTATCGACATTTCCATAATAAAATTGAGACACGTTTAAAACCTTATATAAAGCCCTTTCATATAAACAAACAAATAAATAAAAGTTCTAAAACACCCTCTAATTCATTGAATTAAATTGGTGGGTCAATGATAGAGGACAATTTCAACTTTTGGAAGTGGGCATTGCTTTATTTTACACATTGTATCCAATTTCCAATAGATTATATAATATAATAATAACAAATGGAAAAAAAAGTTGGCAGCTTAGGCTCTATTATGTTTTATTTAAATAATATTTTTGCAAATGTAAAAGAGAAAAAGGTTGAATAATTAAAGCTGATGTGGAATGATTAGATGAAGCAAAGTTTATATTCTCACCGGACAAAGCTATTCCATCACTTTGCATTTTGCCCCCTCATCTTTCTTTACTTTTTTTTTTATACAACAATTTAGATATATGGAGATCGGACCTCCGACCTCGAAAAAAGGAATACATGTCAATTACTGAATTATACTCGTGTTGGCTCGTTTTTGCTTTTTGACCCCTCACAAAAGAGAGACGCTTTTATGAAGTAATATTCAAGTTACTTTCACCCATGATGTATAAAATCATGAGGTTTTATAAAAGATAATCGGTTATTCATGAACATATTTTATCAACATTTCTATAAAATTAAGATATCGACATGAACATTTAAAACTTTGCTTTTATGTAATCAATACATATATTTTCTCTTTCAATTATATTTTAATTACCTACTTAGACAACACTCATGTGAGAAAGTTTCAGTTATGTTTCTTCAGTTTAATTACGGGTTAATACGTTGATGTAACACTTTATTAGATAAAATTTAGAAGATTGTTTAATCGTAGTGGGATGGTTTACAGTTTGCATTAATTTTTTTAACTCATTAGTTAGATGATTTGTCAAACCTACGCATAACTCAAATCTTAGTTGTCAATTTTTCAAATCTTAGTTGTCAATCTATCTTAGTTGTCAATTTTTCAAATCTTAGTTGTCAATCTTTCAAATGGCAGTAAGCAGAAAGAGGCAGTTGAAAGTTGAACCATGAAGCTAAATTTGTTTGGGTCCTTTTAAGGGGTTTGTAGTTGTCTATGAGTAGACAACACTACAAAAGTACAAGTGCTTATCAAACACTTTTTACTAAATTAAAAATAATTATTATAAAAAAATCCACCCCAATTATCTTTATAAAAAGAAAATATGAAAATTCACTAAAAAAATGGAAATTTTCCCACATATCAAGCTTTATATGCTATTTTGACAAACATGTGATTATTGAGAATGAAAGTGAAAGAAGTAATTACAGTGATAAAAAACTGATCCCAAGTTCACAATGTGGAACAAATGTAGGCTTCAGATAGAGAGAGCTTAGCGAGAGAAAGTATTGATGTAGTAGCCATTGCCATTCCCGAGCGAGTAAACGTCGTCCTCCTCGAGCTGATTGAACTTGGGAACTCCATCATCCCATGAAGGAAGTGAATCCAAACCATCAAAGTGCAGAGAGTTTTCTTTGATGATTGAGAGAGATTCACTCGATGAAGAACAATATTCGAAAGAAAACGACATGTCGTTTTCTAATTGGTCCGTCCACTTCCCGTACCCAAAGCCTTTGCACGCCAGATTACTTGAACCATCTGACATCATATGGGCTGCAAATGGGTTCTTTTCCTTTGTCTCAAAATCAAAATTTGGCATTGCCTCTTGTTTTCTTAATGGATTTGATGCAATAAACAACTTTTCTTTCACTCTATGATCTGTTTTGTCAGTGAGTTTTTTGTGTGTCAAAGGATCCAAACCAAGTTGCTTCAATCTCTTCTTGATTCTAGTGTTCCAATGGTTCTTGATTTCATTATCGGTACGACCCGGAAAATGCGCTGCGATTTTTGACCACCTGTAAGAGTTGGAAGAAAACCATGTGATCAAATTTGGTCAGAAAAATGAGCCAAAAATGAAGCTTTTTTTTTTTTTTTCATTTCATTACCTGTTGCCAAGAAGGGAATGAAGGTGAATGATTTGATTCTCTTCCATTTCTGTAAAAGCACCTCTCTTGAGATCAGGCCTTAGGTAATTTATCCATCTTAGTCTGCAACTCTTCCCGCATCTTAGCAAACCTTCGTCACGGTGAAGGGAAGAAAAGCAAATGCTAGTAAAAAGTCTACAGTTGTTCGGGAACTGTTTTTAATAACAACTATTTTCCTTCTAGAGCAAGATTTTGAATATCCGGGAGTTCGTTTTCTAAAAGTTGTCCTTTTAGCTTGCTAGTTGCTTTCATGGAAGACTTTTTTCTTAGAATATTTTAAGTTGTTCTCCCTTCTCAGAACACAAGCCAGCTTGAGAACAGTGATTTCAAGCGTGTAATTAACCTTTAACTTTTACGAGCTATGCAATCATAGTTCTTAAAATCATTTTCGAAAACAAAAGTAGAAAGTTCTATAAACTGTCTCTAAGGTAGGCTTTCTAAACATGTTTGGTTATATGCTTTTTTTTTTTAGACTAATGGACAGGAGACGCGTTTCTCCTTATAAAATGATCCAAACTGTCACGATCGGTTCAACATTCAAAAGTCGCTCAATCACACTTCTTGAAAACAATTTTCAAAACTCGTTCAGCAAAACTAAGCTACCAAACAGACTTGGGACTTAGAAACAATTTCAATTAGAGTTGGTTAGCAATAGCAAAGGAAAAAAAATACCTGCAAGTTTAGGCACCAATCTCCAACAATGGATCCCATTGTTGAGGATGAAGTTCATGAGCTTGTGATCTTCCTCAACGGTCCATGGCCCTCGTTTCAATCCAACCTTGTCACAGCAGGGCTGTCGTCCCATGTCTCGTTCTCGGGGGGAACCAGTGCAATAGTTTGCATGAGTTTAACCCCATGGAACTGAAGGCTTAAAAAGGAGCTGAAGAACTTTGGCAAAGATGGTGCCAGTTCATTGAAACATATAAAAAAAAGGAAGGATGTTGTGTAAAAGGGTGATAAATGATTGAAATGGAAAAAGCATTCAAGTCCAAAGAAAAGAAAAGAAAAGAAAAGAAAGGCATGGAGCAGTGTGATTATTGAATTGCCAAACCCCAAAAACTTCTCTTATTCTAATATTAGTTTAAAGAAGCAATCCAAAAACAGATATGTTGAGAAGATTCCCTTCCTCCCCTTCAAGGCTGGCCACTTTTGTCTTTGGAAGACAACTCCTAAGTGGCTTTAATTTTAACTATTATATGCAAAAGGGCAAAATTTTTATCTTTACAAGACTCGAATCAGATTGCCACTAGGCTAGAGTTTTGATTTTTCTTGGGAAATTCATCTTTCCAATGAGAAATTTGATTACTTGTGCAATTTGGGGCAAAAAACTGTTGAATTTACTTCTGGGTATAAGATTTTATTTCCTGGAAATTCATCTTTTCAAGAGAAAATTTGGGTTACTGATGTAAATTTTGAGGAAGAAATACATGAATTCACTTGGGTTTTTTGCCATTCATTGTATGTGCAAAAGTTCTTAGATTTCTTTTTCATGAAGTTTCAAGAAAATTTCATCTTTCCTGCAAAAAAAAAAGAAAAAAGGAACTCAGAATTCACTTTTGGGAATGTGACTAATCCATTATATGCAGAAGTTTGTCAGATTTCCAAGCATCTTTCCAAGAAAAATTTTGATTATTGATGCAATTTTTAGCAAAGAGAACACTGGAATTCACTTGGGTTTTTCCTCATTCACTATGTAAGCAAAAGTTCCTCAATTTCCAAGCAAATATTTTCTAGGAAACTTCATCTTTCCCAGATAAAAATTTGATTACTAATGCAATTTTGAGCAAAGACAACACTAGAATTCACTTGGGTTTTTTACAGTTCATCTCGTAAGTAAAAGTTCATCAGAGTTCCAATGTAAAATTCATCTTCCCAGTAGGAAAATTGACTTCAAAAACACATGAATTCACAAGGGTTTTTTTACCAGTGGGGTAATAATGAAGTTAAAATTGCATAGAAGNATGAAAGGAGGGCACAGAGAAGGAATCACCATTTGCAATCAGCAGCAGACAAGAGGGGTCCCTAGAGATGGAATGATTCTGAGAGCAAATCCCTTTTGGCAATCCAATTTCTTTGCACATTCTTCAACATCCATTATGGTTTCTGAAAATGGAAGGCAACTCTGCCCTCTCTCTCTCTATCTTAGAACCCATTTTCTCTCTCTCTCTCTCTCTCTCTCTATCTGAAGGGGAAGGGAGAGAGAAAGGGAAATATACTAAGAATGACATCTTCCAGAGAGAAGAACAGAGGGCGTAGAGAGGGAAACTCAGGAGAGAGATCACATTTTCACCATCTCTTTGATGAAGAACATCATAGAAATGCTCTGCATCACTTTTTGGAGTACTTAACATTAGGGTTTGGTTAATAATTGCTTTTAAAATGGTTTTTGCTTTAATGGGGATTCAGTAAATATATATTTAAATAATTGTTTTGTATAAAATGATTTAGTTTTGGTGGTCCGACTAACCAACTAGCTTATTGTGTTTCTCGTTCAACATTAGTTAATTGGGATACCAGTGGGTGATGTCTTTCCGCTCCGACACACAAGTTAGTTCAAGTCTATTGAATTTTAGTACTCTCCTTATATATAGAAAAAATATGTGATTGTTGGTGGCTGGTTATGGTGTTGTGCTATCATAGTTGACTATGACTTGCTTAAGCATTTTATAGACTACATTGACATGATAGCTTATTGGATAGCTCGGCATTGGCGAGCATAAAAGATGGTGTCGACCTAATAGATATGAACCTCATCGAGTCGCTCATGCGTAGTCAAATATCTTTTGAGTGTTGGGATACAAGGTTGCTACACTCAACCTCTCGTGTAGTTGGGTTACAAGCTATGATCTAGAGTTTCTGGTTTGTAACTTTAGCCTTGAGTTTTTAGATAATTTGTTTCTTCTAGTCGAGTTATTAAAATTATATTTGAGGGTTTTAAGTTTCATAATTGAATCACGTCCACATAGATTATCTTAAATTAAAATATCTTATATACGTAACAAGTATATTTATAAAGATATTTAAAAAAAAAACTAAATGAAATGGTTATTTTGTATCATGTGATCAACGTGTCTACCACTTAATTTTATTTTTATCTTACTTGGAATTTTGTCCTAACTAATTAAAGAAAGCTTTGGAAATAGCCATGCTTTTGCTTGATATATGGAAGAGTCCTTCCAAAACCATTTGGGATAAGTTTCTTCATGTGAGATAAAATTCTCTGATAAAAATATATATATACATAATGCACGCATTATGCTCTCCCAGTTCCTTTTAGGATTCGCACCAAGCTTGATTATCAGGGATTCGAAGACCTACAAAACCGAACAAGACTAGACCGGTGTAACACTTGTCACACGGGCTCCAATGACTAAATTAGCAGGGGGAGCAGTAGAGTCATAGAATTCAATGGTCGAATTCGACTTAGATTAGGGTTAGGCTGCATAGCCTATTTAGAATAGTTTGAAGAGTTCTAAAGCCTTCTAGGTGAGCCTAGATAATTGTCGTAAGGCCCAAGGCATCATGGACAACAGAAGAGGGAGGATGCCGGCCGAGCTCAACTCGGCTCGGCAGTTTGGGTCGACTCGACGGCTCAGCCCGTCTCGGTTTGGCCGACCATCTCGTCGACTCTCTTCTGTTCCCTTGGTTGGTTTGTTTGTCATTTTCCTTCCTATAACATATATTAAATTAAATTTTATATGAATTTGTTGCAATTTTCCCTTGTTTAGCTTTCCTACCTTTGCCTACTAACTTAAAAAAAAGACAAAAAAAAATTACATAAAATCTTTTCAATATTCACCCATATAGTCAACTCTAACAAACCAATTCACAAATGAAACTTACCATTAAACTAGAATTCACAACTTTCAACAAATATCCAGCTTTAGTTTCATTTTTCCTTTGAAGTCTCGTCAATTTCTTATTAAACATTTGTTCTGTAACTTCGTTAAACACACGTGAGAGTTCTTCTTTTAAATATTATTCAAACAAAAGTCGAAAGGAAGAGAAGAATTATAACACTTCTTTTTTAAGTTTAGGAGAAAAAGTGTGATATTTATTCAAGTTTAATATTCAATTCAATAAGATTGAAATTTATGGTAAAATTTAACTTACCTTCCTATGTTCAAGGGATAAAGTTTGAATTTTCCCCTAAATCACACTCTCATCCAACCGTACCTTACACTTTACACTTTGTTTGATAGGTGCCGCTGCCATCTTCATCCTAAACTTTAAAATGTATTGCAAATTTTCCATTTGCTAAATTTTCGTTTGAAATTTCGTTGGAAAAGAATATGTCAAATAAATCCTTAAGACATATATTTGATACTAAATTGATAAGATTTAAGTTAAAAAAAAATATAAGATTCAAACATAAACCGAGTTCTAAATTTGTAAGATTTAGAATTATTTAATAGTCTATTTTTTTATTAATCAAACTTAATTAGTTTAATATTCATTTAATTCGTGAGTCTTTGAGTTTTTTACTTCTTTTTTTTTTGAAAATTATTGGGCTAATTAGTGAAAATTTAATCGTAAACTTTAAGTTTAGGGTTGAATTTGATTAAACTTCAAAGTGGGTAATACACTTTTAAATAGGTTTCTATCTTTTCTTTAAGTTTCAAAAATTGACAGTTTGGTCATCGACCTTTATAAAATAGTTATAAAAAGCTTTTGAGTTAACCTTTAGTGACACTAACAAAATACTAACCTTTCATTAATTAACAATTTTTAGATGATATGACAATATTTATTATTTTTAGTTTACGTATGTCAGTCTTGAGACATTTTAGAATTATTTTCTAAAAGTCAAAAACTTAACTATCAATTTTTTAAATTTAAGGACCCAATAAAAACTTATTTTAAAACTCATGGATAAAAATATATTTTACTTAATTTAAAATTTAGGTTGAAACAAAACTTTTTACCCTAATAATTAATTAGCCCGGAAATGTAGCCGTTGAAGATGGTGACCGAATAACATTCAAATACAAAAGAAAAAAATCGACCGTTGCTAAGGTTATCGCTTCGAACTCATCTCTTTCTCCAGATTCTCCCTCTGAGTTCTTCCAAATCTGTTCAGTTTCCCGTTGATGATCTTCTTCCCCGATTCGAATCCGATCTGAAATGTTGCCGGAAGGATCAGAACGCCAGCCGATCGAATCGAAACCGCTCGAAATTGGAAATGAGTCGCAGATTTTTTTTAGCCCTAGATTCAAATCGGCGGCCGCCATGGCCGGATGGGACGAGGAGGCGCTCCTAATCGCGAGCCTCGTCGTCGACGACACGCCGGAGAGAGAGCTCCGGCACAATAAACGGTGCGTTCTGCAGAGCAAGAGCCCGCCGTCTGGTTCGAGAAGGTAGATGTAGATTAATTTTCGATCTGTTGTTTTTTGGATGAGAAAACGAAGATCTGTGAGGATCTTAAAGCCTGATTTCTTGTTCATCGCAGGAAACGAAGAACATCGACGAGCCTGATTTCGATTCCGGTGGCGGTTCTTGACCTCGACGATGAAGAATCAGCGGTTAAAGGTATGAATTTCGCCTCCAGTGCTCTGATAATTTCCATTTTCCCCTCCTCTCAATCCCCTGTTCGGTATAATTTTGGTCAGATCCTGTTTTTTTACTCTTCAAAGGCTGAAATTTTTTAACCACTACTTAGAACTTTCTTAAAAATTTAGAGCTCGTTGATAACGTCGTTGGTTTCGTGTTTTTTGAATTGTGTTTGATTCTCATTCACTCTTTTTTATTCCAAAAAATAAAAAAATAAAATGGTAACAATTTCTTGGTTTTGGAAGTAAATTTTTTATATGAAAATTAATTTATTTAAATTAAATATTTAAAATTTTTATGTTACATTTATTTTTTGTAATATTTATTGATAAATAGTTAGAAACGTGAATAAATAAACTTCATTTCAATGTTTCTAAATATATTACTCAAATTGAAAATCTTTTCTAAACAAAAAAATAAACTCTAAACTTTCAATTTGATGTGTCGACCATAAACTCCATCAACTTATGCTTTTGTCTCATCAACTATATTACTTTAAAATATCGTGACGGGCTGATTTTAGACCCTTTTTGGTATTCATGGAGCCTTTTGATGACCCAAATGGTAAACCGATTGTCAATTATAGAGATTAGTAGGCACAAATCCAATAATTTAACTGACTTATTAGAAACTTTTTAAAATACATGAACTAATACGGATCGTTCAAATCGAAAGGAAGTAATTCGTTTCGGTAATGATATGAATAGATGATCCTCCAAAAGAAAGGCCAGAAAATGCAGTGGGTGAAGCAAAGAAAAATGGTGGTGGTGCTTCTTCTTCCTCTCCTTCGGCTCTGCCTTGCATGGATAAGCTCAGAGAAGAGCTTTCTTGTGCAGTAAGAGGATATTCTAACTCTTCAAGTTTGAGCTTTGATAGTACCTCTCTTATTTCTCATTGTCTTTTGAATTCTTTTTCACAGATTTGCTTGGAAATTTGCTTTGAACCTAGTACCACTCCTTGTGGACACAGGTAAACCCGAAACCCGACTCACCGTTGTTCTTAAGTTCAAATCTTATTTTCGACCTTTTAATTCCTAGTCAAATATGCTGAGATCCATATTTTTCCTTGCATCTGCAAAAAAGAAATATGCTAAAGTTATGAGCTAGATTAAGATATTTGAAATTTTTGTTAGTACAACGATATGCAGAAGGGGAGATTTTGAACTCGGAAATATATGTCTTAACTAGTTAGCTGTGTTCGGGTTGTTCAACGTTTAGAGATCAAATAAAGAAACACGATAGTTTAATAATGACGATGGGATCTGCTTAGGAACATTCACGGGCAGGACGGATACGGGCCCGTTACAATGCCCATCCTCAAGAAAATCCCAACTATATTTTGCGGGGATTCCACGAAAAGAATCCTTCTTAAACCACATAATAAAAATAATATAATATTTCATTTTAGTCCAATAAAATTATATATATAAACGGTGAGACGGGGACGGAAATAGAATGTCATCAATACCGTATCCAGAGGGAGCCTAAACGGGAATTCTCGGCCCTATTTATGGCTGAAAATGAACACCTCAATTCTTTTCTATTATGCATTAGTTTTAGCAACAAACTGGAAATTTCTGTGAACTTTTGTTGATTCAAGTTGTGATATTTGTACCATTTCTAAGTTTTCTTGTCTGCTTGTTGTTGTATATAGTTTCTGCAAGAAATGTCTAAGATCTGCAGCTGACAAATGTGGAAAAAAGTGCCCCAAATGCAGACAGCTAATAAGGTTGAACTTACAACTCCAAAGTTTTCTCAATAAAATCAGTTGGATCATTTCATTTTCACTCATTAGTTCATATTTTTTTAAATCTCTTGTTGAACTTGAATTTGCAGCAATGGAAGATCTTGCACTGTTAACACAGTTCTTTGGAACACCATACAACTTCTTTTTCCCAAGGAGGTTGAAGCAAGGAAGCAAGCAAAAGAGTGTAGTAGGAGTCAGGAAAAAGTTCAAAACCCAGAAAAGGCCTTCTATAGTAGTTTTCAGAACCACAATACACGCACAACTGGTACCGGTACGTCGAGTCGACACGGTAGCTCAAGAAGAAGAGGGGAGGAATTGGTCAGTAGGATGACGCAGCGAGCAGCATCTTCGAATGCTGAAAGCAGAGTTCAATCCAGGGTACAGCGTCGAAGTATTCGACCGGTGAGAATGCCGACTCGAGATGCGGATGTGAGCAGTAGTCTACTGAGAGCTGCACCTGACCAAGATCAGGATGCTGCTTTAGCTCTAAGGTTACAGAGGGAAGAGTTTATGGAGGCTTTCAGAGACAGTCAAGTGCAAACCACAAGCTCTCTGTCCTTAGCTAGGGCTAATCTCAGAGCAATGGCTTCTCGGGCAGCCGTTAACTCTCGTGTTAATGATCGCTTGGATTTGTAGTTTTGTATCTGGAGTCTGTGAGTGTCTTTATATTACCTCGACTAATCTCATAGGACAACTATCTAACTCTCCAACTTATACGGGTTGTTCTTGAATTTTAGTTTAACAAGTATTTTTTGCAACAAACTAGGGAATGAGAGAGAAAGAGAGGAACTTCATGACTGGGAAAGTTGTACACTCGGGGGTAAAAATGGAAAGAAAAATGTCCAATCTCAGCATTCGCTTTCGATAGAGAATTCGAAGCATTTTACATTACAAGACCAATGATATCCTTTGGGGGCTCCTAATCTCAGGTAAGTTCTCTATCTTACAAAAGCTCAAAATGGAAGGAGCAACAAAACTTGATTTATAACAACAGCCTAGGAAAAAATGTTATACTCCCTCATTCTACGTACACGAAACATGATCTTTCCACCGTGACACTACCTCAACTCGGGTATGCCCTGGCTTCTTTGGAATACACATGATGATAATCAATAAGAGAACTCATGGCCTCGTAGTGAAATATATTTTTTGACCCAGATGGCAATGTCCTCTGCACAGGCTTGGGCTTGAGGCGTCTTGAGAAGAATGTCGAGGGTTGCGAACTCGTGTACTGCATCTTTGTAGTCGAGAACAGGTGCATCGACATTTACCTTTCGAAGTTCTTCAGAGTAAGCTATGGCTCGGTCTCGCATCCAGTCAAGTTCAGCCACCACTGTCAGTGTTGGTGGCATGAGCTTTAAAGGAGGGCCTTCTCTGCCCAAAACAAGGGGGTTCGCAGCTGGATGATCAAGACTAAACTCTTCCTCCGGTAGGAATAGTTTCCAAGCAAGAAGGCACATAGCTTTGTCGTAAAAATATGAATTTGCCAACTTCAATTCAGAATGCGTGGGGACACTCCCGACAAAGAACGGGTACAGGAGAACCTGTGCGACTACCTTGACAGGGTCGAGGAGTTTACCGGCCTCCACAGCCTTTCGAGCCACATAGTCTGCAACATTTGCTCCACAGCTAACCCCAAGAAGAACACATCTGGTCAAAACAAAAATAAACCATGTCAAGTTTCTTGCATGACTCACAAGGATCTCTTTTAATGTGAAAACCAAGCTTTTATCTAAATGAATACAAATGAACAAAACAGAAAAGAAAACCCAGGGCTTATACAAAAAGACGAATGAAAGATAAAGGGTAGTTAAAAAGAATATATATCCTTAGATATCGACAGCCAAAGAGAGGCATGGAACTTGGCCATAGCCCACACCTCCCCCTCCAGATCCATCTCCAATTCTCTATGAACATTTTCAGAAGGTGACAGTGTAAATGATTTTCAGAAATCTGTAAACGAGACGAGATACTTGCCATTTAACTAGCACTGCCAACAATTGGTTCATATCAAATCTCAATTCTCAAAGAGATATCCCTTCAGCCAAGGCACAACAATTTCAGCATATGAAGAAAAAGTTGAATAAATCTATTCCAATTGCTTAACCATTCTACTAGGACAGCTCAGAACAAAGAACTAACTGTTTAAATACGTAAGTTCAATTTTACCAGCCACCAAATAAATCTACCACTAACATAATTTGATTAGAAAGATTAACAATCGAAAGTTGAAAGATTAAAGATCAATTTAGTAACAGAACTAAAATGATCGAAAGATCATGAAAGTCAAAAGATTAAAGATAAATTTAGTAACAAAGAACTAAAAATACTAGAATGTCATGTAAATAAAAGCATAATCTTGCATTGTGATGCTGACTAAGACTACTCCAATGCTTTAACTTCTAGAAAGCTAGCAACAAACTACATAGCTCAAGATAAACCACTTCAATCAATTTCAAACTACGTCTACATCCCGTAATATGGACCGCTAATTAATGATTGTAAAATAAATCCATTTGTACATAACATACTTCTATTTTACGCTAGAGGCTTTATCCTTGATAAAACTATACACTTCAACATGACATTGACAACCTAAATCCAAACAGCTCTAAGGTGTTGCATTCAATCTTTATCTCCATATCTTTCAAAAAGTCATATAACACAAAATCATTAACTTTGGACTTGGACTAGTTTCTCAAACTACATTTACATCTTTGGGGTTTCCCTATAAGATCAAACCATTGTGCAGATCGGATCATAGGCCTTTGAAGTTCTCATTCCTTGCTTCTAACCCAAATTCAGGGGAACCAAACATCCAGATACAAAGACTCATTTTCATAGAAATAGAAAACAAAAACTATCCAGATTCATTTGCACACAAGAGGCAGAGAAAATCTATGCAATATCACCACTATATCAAGCCATACGATTCAAGAAAAATGTACTAAGCAAGATGGTTATATCAAAATGAATACCTTGTTGGGTCTCCATGGGCTGCCAACCAAGGCTCTACCATTGACGCCCCAAATGTGTCAACAATATGCCGATGACCATCCGACTTCTTAAACTCGTTGCCATTGCCTTTGGTATTACCCATAGACTTGCTGCACTCGGCCAAATTCGCCTGCTTCCCCAGCCAATTCAAC